TGACTGGCACAGCATCTCCAAAAGCTTACCAGGCACAGAACGCAGTGTCCGGATTGGGTCTCCTGCTGGACCTGTTACAGCAGTGACACTTTCATCCTCTTTTACACATGCAACCCGACTTCCAAAACCTGTAGCCACGTCACACTAAAGCCGGCTACCATGTTCCCAGCCAGCCACTCTCCCTACCCTGTTCCGTTGCCATCCACCTGCCCCTCAGTGCATCTGACCCAGCCTGCTGGACGTGCCTGAGAATGCCCAGTTCTCTGTCCCTCTGGTATCCTGACTGACGGGTCTCTGTATTCATCATCGCCAGCAGCCCTGGTGACATCTGGAATGTGTCGTGTCTAACGTGGCAGCCACAGCAGTGTCTACAGGAGGTTAGCCAAGCTGGCTTGACTGCAGTAGGTAGGTACCCCTGAGAACACTACCCTCCACCGTCCTCCCCAGCTGGGACACTGTCACCCTGCTGACCCTCCCAGCCCAGTCTCTCTTGGCTCTTTCACAACCATACCCACTGTGTGCCGGGCCGGGAAGGCGAGAGTGGCCGAAGACAGCTGGGTGAGCACAGAGCATTCCGTAGCCTGGCAGGGTGTGCTGGCAGAGGGCGCCACTTGTAAGTGAGAGGGCTAGCGGAAAACCCGCTCTAAAAACGCTATGCTGAGGGACCACAGAGCCCCTCTGGCCTAGAGGGAGACACCATAGAAACATTTGGGAGGTTAAATAATTCAGCATGGAGTCTGCCTTCCTCGTTTTATGTTCCAGGCTGGCCAGAGGTCTCCAGGCTCTATCAGAAAGCCCATCTTCTCAATAGCTTCAGCTCTAGGGAAGTGTCTTTCTTTTCAGATGCTCCCTTGCCAGTTCCCTTGGGACACGGGCACATTGCAAAAGACACTCTTCTTTCTCTCCCATCATCTGTAGTTAGGGGGCTGTGATTCCTCACTGGAGAAGGGCAAGTGATGAGCCTCCACGGGTACCTCAGCCCACAGCCAGAGCCCAGTCCACAGGGAGGAAGGAACTGAGTTTTCAAAGACTTTGAAAACTATTGAACTAAACACAAGGCGAGGCTTTCAATGGGAGCCAGTGCCGGCCTCTTCTAACTAGGAATCCTCAAGTGACCTTGAAAGGCAAAGAGACACAAGAAGAGGCAGTCTAACGAAGGAGGGTCCAAGAATAAACAACCTTTCACCTACTAAAGCGGTCACCTTGTTATGAAAAATACCAGACAGCCAGAAAACTGTGTTAACATCATAATAAATGCCACCGGTCCAAACCCGGCCCCAACAAACACCATCCTATGGCCATGCTTCTCTATCTTCACATCTCATGTCAGTATCGTTTCATCTGTAACTCTTCCAATGTGTCTCTAAGACAAGCATTTTAAAACAGACACACTTATAATCCCAGTAAGACTATGACATTAAAACTGAGTTAATACAGGGAGATGAACATCCTCCCTAGAATATGAAGGACCTATCTCTAGGGTCTCTCTCATATTCAGTTGGTGTTTGAATGTCTGCCTCTTTTCAGTCACTCTGTGTGCATGCGTGTGCGTGCGTGCGTGTGATATACATGTTTGTGTGGGTATGTGCTTGTACGTCTATGCACAGAGGGCAGAGGTTAATATTGTGGTTTTTTTTTTTTTAATTTGGTGGATTTCCACTTTAGTTCTGTTTGTGGTTGGTTTAGTTTGCTTTTTTGTTTCAATCCAATCTCTCACCGAACCTGTAGGTCACCTAGGCCGGCTGGCCAGGGAGCTCCAGGGATCCGCCCACTTCTACTTTTCCAGTACATGCCTTCACACACATGTTGCAATCCCCAGCTTTTACATGCGTGTTTGAGACCTGAACCCATGCCTTCATGCCTGTGTGGCAAACACAGACTGAGCCATCTCCTCAGGTCCCCAGTCTCTTTTCTGATGAAGTCTGTGGCCACATAAGTGGCTGGTAGGATACTGTCCAGTGGCAAGTACCAGGCAGAACGTAGCCTGCTGGCAGAGGCATCCTGTCCTGGGTGGGGGGAGATTCAATTTGTGCTACATTTATACCTTTGAGCAGAGCGGCACTCCCATCAAGGCATTTCCCTGACTTCCGGAGCCAAAGGCACTTCTCCAGAGCCAAAGGCTTTTGAAGGCCTCAGGGGACCAATTTCTGTCCTTGCCCTCAGTTCAATGAATTCTCCTGCCTTAGCAGGGGCTCTGTGCTGGGCTGCAGGGAACCAGGGTGACTCCCGGGTCTCTTCGGCGTGGGCTAAAGACAACCAGGATGATTGTTCGCTGGACCTGTAGTAGGTGGGGGAGTCACCAATAAACGTCCACTGACCCACAGGCCCTGCTTTTATTCCCTCAATTAATCAGCGCCAAAATGTTAATGAATCCTAAAGGCTTCCATCTTGGTTGGTATGAACCAGCAAAACAGACGGCCTGCAAGAGAGAAGCTACGAGCCCAGGACTGGGCTGTGGGAAACACCAAGAGGAATGAACAGGTCTCCAGGAACGAATAGTGACGAGCTAAGTGCATAGAAAATGCCGAAGAGAAAGCAATCAGTATCTAATTCTACCAAGAGAGTTAGTGTGGCGGTGGGCAGGAAAGCCCAATGTGGGGGGCAGGGTCCATTTGAAATGGAGCTCAAAGGGTGGGTGCAGTTCTACTATACAGAGATGCAGGAAAATATGGGGTGGGGGGCAACGATCAGTGTGAAGGTTAGCTGAAGAGGGGGTACATGGCTCTGGGGGAGCGAGGAGACAATGCTAAGCAGAGCCCACACCACAGAGAGGCTCTGTGGCAGGGTCTGTGGCAGCTCTGCCTTGGATCAGGCATGGTGGATCACTGAGAAGTTTCCACAGGCAACGTGGCAATCATGGAGGAAGGGCCAGGCCTGGTTGGAGGGGGAGGTATAAGGTGATGACCTTTTGACCAGTTCCCACCTTCACCAGGAGCTTGGAAAACTGCCCATTAGGCCGAGGCGGACGGACTCCAGGGCCTGGCCCGACGCTGGAATGGAGCTGCAGCTGTGTGTGTGTGTGTGTGGGGGGGGACACCTGGTCAGACCTGCCACCTCACTCCTGGGTCCTGCTGTGGTAAGTGTCCCGGACGTAAGGTGAGCAGATAGGGCTTTCCCTTGCGCTCTCCAAGGCCTGGCATGCTCCCTGGCCTGTCCTACTTCTCAAGTTCCATGCCCTCTTGGCTGGCCTTTGACAGGAATCGGCGGCTGCTGGTATGGGCAGAGGAAATGACGGAGTCTATGCCTGAGGCTTTGTAAGCAGGACACAGCTCTAGTCTTTTCCACAAAACCTGGGTCGTTTGTTTCTGGAGGGCAGCCATTGAGCCTGCTACCCAGCCAGTCCTAAGGAGGGAGTGATAATACCCACACCCGGCACTGGCTTTCTGACCCTGTTAAATCCCTGGACGCTCACTGGTTCCCGTGCTTCCGAGGGAAGGGGCTTGGGACGCGGCAGGTAGGAACAACACAGCGGGAAATCTGTGCACTGAATGGAAACTGGAGTCGGTGCCCGGGACTTATTTGTTTCTCATTTGCTTTGGAAAGAGATTGTCTCGAGTTTGGAAATCCACATTCCACTGGGGAAAGCAGACCAGATTTCTGCTGACAGGGAGTTTGGCAGCGGGTAGATTTTGTCTGTTTTTGCCATGTGAGCTCATTTTCTGGGGACCCAGTTCTCGTTCAAGATGCTATCGGGGCTGTACCTTCCACCCACGAAGCTTTAATTCTCACTGAATGCCTTTGGAGTTTTTATTTAGGGTGCATTTTAGGAAATCATAATGCCAGGCCTTCCTTGTGCAAACAGTCAGAGCCAGCAGGGAACACGTGAGTTAAACATCTTTGATGGAAACTGCAGTCAGCCTTCCTGTGCCTGGGGGGTTTCAGGGACTCCAGGCCTGTGTTCGAATGTACAACAACACACTGGGATTGGAGTGCACCTAAACTCTCAAAGGCCTTGGATCTTTAACCTAGTGCTGTTAACACACTTCAACTTTTTCCTACACAGAAAGACTGTTTGTTTTATAACCCAACATTATAGCAATTAGCAATACAAGAAAAGTTGTGTTTCTCATAGAAAACACAGGCCCTCGAGTGTTAGGTTAAATTTCAAATTTGGAGGGAGAAAATGCCTAAAGCTGTGAGCATGCCTGGCTCTCTCTCCTTGCTTTGGGAGGCAGCAAGAGTCCAGGACGGAGGCCTGTGTGTGACACACATCACCACCTCACGGTTGCTGAAGTCCCTTCATCTTTCCAAGCAGATGGTGATGTGTCTGAGGCTCTGCCCCATGGAGGAGAATTATGGGCACTCACGCCTGTAGGCACAGTCTGAGGCTGGGGCTTGCCTGGGGAGGCGCTGTCCTGGACAGGGGCTTCTGCTCTTGGCAGTGAAACTGCTCTCCTCATTTTCTCCTAAATTCCATCAAGAGGACAGAAACTAGTAGAGCAGACCAGGACACGGGCAGTTACCATAGGGGGTCACCAAACAGTTAAATCAGTTCTGATATGAGCCATGAGATGGGTGAGGAAGGATTGTACACAATGGATTTATAACACAGTAGGGTTTTTTTTTTTTTTTTGGATGAAAGTAGTGACTGGGGACATTTCAGATGAAGAAATGGCCATGTTTTTAAACATTTGCATCTGTGAGTCGCAGAGGCTCAACATAAAGCAGATTTCCTATATCCACCAAAGCCATTCTGGCATAGGAAAGTTCCCTTGCCTAAAGGAAAACAGATGTGTGAGTGGGACATGCCAATTCTCTAAGGGGTGTATCAACATCAGAATTACAGAGCGACCTCAGGAACTATATATTCTGTGAAGCAATGAGCAGAGAATTCTGACCACATTTCATCCCTGAAAACATTGAAAGCAGAAACTTAATATTGGAAAAAGGCAAATTATTAGTGCAGATGAAAATCCATCATCCATCCACAGTGTCAAGGGCTCCCTGCCAAATGAACCGACCCCATATTGCTTTCACTATTCCAAGTTCTTGCTACGTGCTGCATCAAAGATGTATATCCAGGTCCTCTTGAGTGTTTAAACAATTATTACGTGGCACACCCTTGTATGTGCTTACTGTGAGGGGAGACTACGCCAGGGTCATCTGCACAGGGGATCCATAGGCAAGTCAATACGGAAACAGGAACATGAATCCAGGCAATCTCACTTGAGGTGTGGGTCAGAGTTCAACAACAGGCAGGTGCTCGGTGGTCTGCAAGGTCCTGAGGAGGGACGACAATGCATGCTGGCCACCAGCACTAAGCAGGAAGAAAGGCAGGCCCAAGCCACCTGCCAGAAGAACACTTATAGTGAGGTGGGCAGGCAGGAGAGAGGATGAGCTCCTCAGTGAGTGACCATCTGAAATCAGGCTGGGGACGATCTCAAACCCATTAGTATGTGAAATGAATATGTAATGGATCAGAGAGAGCCACACAGCAATTCAGATGGGTGTGGTAGAAAGAAAAGCTCAGATGATTCAAATCACCTCAAATGCTGGCCCCATTACAGAAAGTCACAGGAACAGTCTATTCAAAACACACAGCATTCGATGCATTAAATGCAGCTGGGAGAGTGTAGTGCTTAGAACTGTCTGGGCACAGATGAGTAAAATAATAATCACTGGTGATAAAATGTATACAGGCTGATTAAGCATAGACAGAATAAATACAGGTATTTTTCACTAATGGTTTTTCTAATTTCCCGGTGATGCAAATTAAACTCTGGGCTTTCTTTACCTGAAGTCACACAAAAGTCACCAAGTAAAAACCCACAACAGTGATGCATCTCTACACAACAGAGTCCTGTGGCACTACAAACTTGCCCTTTCCGTGTCTGTTTTTATGATGAGTACTAGCAAGAAAGGGGTCTCTCAACTTCTTACGATTTTAATACGGCATAAAACGTTTTCTGAAAACTTATTCAAATTTGTCAGAATGAGGAAAAAAACAGTTATGAACAGAGGTGCGGCATCCATGAAGCACCCCTTTATTAATTTAGTAATTAGTAAAGACACTTACAGGAAGAATGAGCTGTGACGTGGCGTGTGCGAATAGACGGAGCACTACACTGCCAGGGGGTGACAGAGTGTTCCCACATCGTATTCTAGACCGCCTCCCTTGCTTTTCTCACTGGCCTGTAGTGCAGTCCCCGCCGTCACGGCTGCCACCTCTGAAGGAAAACATGCAGGGCCAAGGACCAGGCTTTGAATGCAAGCCTTTGGCATGGACTCAGTAATCAGATGCCACTGGAGTTTACAGAATTTTTCAACAGTGTAGACAAACAATCAGGCTGAAACGACACATAACAGGGTGCATGTATTTCAAAGGTGACTTCTTTTTTTTTTCACATGCCCATGGGTAATACCTTATGAAATGTTCTGGAAAGCAACCTAATAAGGAAGAAGAACGAGGCTGTGTTTCAGGGATCACCAGAGTGATGGAGCCATCTCACTCAGTCCGTCTGAGCTTCTTTGAGCTGTCGGCCACCGTACGAGGCCACCTGCCTCTATGCA